CTCTGTCGCACAACAAATCTGTCCATAGAGCTCTGTACCTCCCGTTCCTTTACGATTTGTCTAAAATGGGCCACAACATTGTCATTGAAATAGTCACCAGCACGGCTTGCAACAGCTGTGTCAGGGTGATTTTCATCCATAAAGGTTTGCAGTTCAACCCACTGTGCACACATTTCCTTAATTTTTGAAGTAGGCACAATGGATTCCACAACTGGCATAGGCTTCTCAGGGTTAGCCCTAAACCCTTCAAAATCTTTCTTAATTTCCATACTAATTCTCACCCTTTTTACCACAGGGTTGGCACTAGAAGCTTTCTTGGGGCCCATGGTCACTTATTTTCCAGAAACAGCACCGAAAACACTGTAATAATACGAAATATTCCGAGTGTATGCTTGGATGTTACCGCGGAGGCTGGCTGGTAAACAATGGCACGGGCGGCACATGTGAGGCTGGCTGAGGGAGCACATTGGACGCGTCTCGGACGAAAATCGGTGAGCGGGTTTTTAATCGGTATGCGCGGCAAAAATTTTGCGATTAAAGTAAGCGGTATGCGGAATAATCGCTATGTGATGCCATCGTTATGAGGGGGTCCACTGTATAGGTAAACTTGATGGTTAATTTTCCAAAGCTGGAGTGATGTAACAAATTTTGTTAACAAAAGAAATGGTTAATACATCACAAAAAAAAAAAAAAAAAAACCTACAGATACTGGAAATGTTATGATAAAATCTTAGATAGATTTTGCCACCGAAGTGGCTAGTTTATTGTGCACCGCATATCCATCCTGTGGATGGTAGCGCAAGAGCATATGGATACACAAAAGGCCTAGGAACTAGGCCCAAAAGTGTTAACAAGTGTACATATGGGTTTATATCTACATATCTACAGTTCACTTATCTGTTACAAGCAAATTTAGGAAATTTGCCTAGTATATCTGGTATCTTATTTTCATTAATAAGATATCTTGACATGTCACATAGGTTATCATACTGTGTCTCTGTATTCCTCAATAAGTGGACAATTAAGCACAGTGTTCAAGACAGTGACCATATGCCTGATCACATAATCTGCATTTAGTTTGATCATTATTTGTCTCTCCCCCAAACTGCCAGAAGTACAGTGGACCCCCGCATAACGATGGCATCACATAGCGATTATTCCGCATACCGCTTACTTTAATCGCAAAATTTTTGCCGCGCATACCGATTAAAAACCCGCTCACCGATTTTCGTCCGAGACGCGTCCAATGTGCGCCCTCAGCCAGCCTCACATGTGCCGCCCGTGCCATTGTTTACCAGCCAGCCTCCGCGGTAACATCCAAGCATACACTCGGAATATTTCGTATTATTACAGTGTTTTCGGTGCTGTTTCTGGAAAATAAGTGACCATGGGCCCCAAGAAAGCTTCTAGTGCCAACCCTGTGGTAAAAAGGGTGAGAATTAGTATGGAAATTAAGAAAGATTTTGAAGGGTTTGGGGCTAACCCTGAGAAGCCTATGCCAGTTGTGGAATCCATTGTGCCTACTTCAAAAATTAAGGAAATGTGTGCACAGTGGGTTGAACTGCAAACCTTTATGGATGAAAATCACCCTGACACAGCTGTTGCAAGCCGTGCTGGTGACTATTTCAATGACAATGTTGTGGCCCATTTTAGACAAATCGTAAAGGAACGGGAGGTACAGAGCTCTATGGACAGATTTGTTGTGCGACAGAGGTCCAGTGACTCTCAAGCTGGTCCTAGTGGCATTAAAAGAAGAAGGGAGTAACCCCGGAAAAGGACTTGCTACCTCAAGTCCTAATGGAAGGGGATTCCCCTTCTAAACAATAAGTTCGACACTCTCCCCTCCTCCCATCCCATCAATCATCACCAGATCTTCAATAAAAGTAAGTGTCATGTAAGTGTGCATGCCTTTTTCAGTTTGTGTGTATTAAAATTAACATTTCATGTGGTAAAAAAAATTTTTTTCATACTTTTGGGTGTCTTGCACGGATTAATTTTATTTCCATTATTTCTTATGGGGAAAATTCATTCACATAACGATTATTTCGCATAACAATTACCCCTCTTGCACGGATTAAAATCGTTAACCGGGGGTCCACTGTACTTGTAACCAAGCCTAAGCCTGGCCACTACAACATCAGTCAGTCTGTTCACATTGCACGTTGCTCCATAAACATACTTATCTACGTTCATGTTATCATAGTGGGTTATAGATCTACTCAGGCTTCTAACTGCATTCCTATAATAATCATTTTCATTATTTACTTCTCTAATATTATTCCTAATGCTAGACACAGATATACCAAAGTTATATTCTACATTCTCCTTCTGGGTACTCTTCTTGGCTAACATATCAACTTTATCATGAAGGAGTAATCCAATGTGTGATGGGATCCATAGCAATTGTACATTAATCCCTTTATCTGCAATGTAAAGAGCCTTACAAAGTCGTGTACAAGACAATGCAGCTATTCTGTAAATATGCTGATCTGATAGATAGGTTCAGGTATATTTTTCTATACATGTGTATTTTTGTGAAGCTTATGGCACACTTAGTAGGCAGATTTGAAGTGTTTTCATAAACAAAGGTAAAGATTTAGTGGAGTTCATTATGTATTGTTTACTGTACCTACATACAAAACTAGATTATAATTTTGTAAGGTTTATAACTGTATAATGTATTTATAATAAAATAATTTTTCTTCAGTACCATCTAGTACTATACATTCTGTAAACTCAACATTGTAATCCTTATAGAGAATAAACTTTGAATTGAATTGAATTGGTATAAAACATTATTTTAAATGTCAGTACCTGATTTGCCTTTCCATCACATGTCTAAAGTTAGTTTTTTAGTTTAATATCTTTATTATGCACCCCATACCCACTCTGTGGGTGGTAGTCAAAAGATTACAGAGGTACATAATGGGTCCAGGGACTGGACCCCAAAGTTTTGATAGATGAGCAAGATACAAAGGTAATGAACTCCAGGTAGATCTTGTCACGATCATAAGTTACACAGGTATTTACAGATTACAGAGGTACATAATGGGTCCAGGGACTGGGCCCCCAAAGTTTTGATAGCTGAACTAGGTACAAAGGTAATGAATCCTGTAAGTAAGTTTATTCAGGTATACACAAATACAGTTACATAGAATTATCATACATAGCAGCATATGTGTAGAGAACTTAGGATAACCCAAAAAAGTCAGACAGAGTGACTTATTTCCATTGGGGTCCTTTTACCTTATTAATATAATATAAAGGTTATAATATTTTCTTATTATTCTATAATGAAGATATCATCTTATCATACTAAAAAGACTATCTACTACACGAGGGTCATTAAGACTATCTACAATACGAGGGTCATTACTAGGAATAAGGTAAAATTTACATGTATGTTAGCTAAAAAATAGAAAATCATTCCCCTCCCTTTCTGTAGCTACATTCATCAGACACCTTTTGGCACTCTTCTTGAACTGGTTCATGCTATGACTGGCTTTGACATGTGCGGGTAGTCTGTTCCATTCCTTTATTGCTGTACAATAAAAGGTGTTTGACGCCTGGCCAATGACTGTGGGTACTACAAAGTTGTGTTCTCTCCCCCTAGTACTATGATTGCTTTGGTTCCCAACCTTGACAAAATTGACAGCAAGATATTCTGGTAAGTAAATTTACTTATTTACCTTTATACATGGCTACAATCTTGAACAAATTAAAGAGTAATGAGCAATTCACACATCCACACTCGGTCACAATTGTAATGAGTTATTGGTGCAAATATTAATTGTTGGATCACACACACATTAAAGATACAATAATAATAGTAAAAGATTTGAAAATGAAAAAGCTTGTTGCTAATTTCTCAGTAAACAAAATACCCCTTGTACTTTCAACCCCATATTTATACACTCATCAGCCTATCCCTTCCATCCTTATTAAATGGCCAAACCACCTCTAAACGACCCCTTCTCGGTCCTCTGAATTATACCCTTGGTGACCCATCGCCTTTTAATTTATACTCTCCAAATACTCTATGATATTACTTCATACACTGCTCTTGAACATGACAACTCCGCTGCCTCTAGTCTCCTTGCTGAAGCATTCAAAACTCATACCTGGTACCCCTATATAAATGCAAGTACCCCTATATTCTAGTATTTTTTTTTTTTGTTTCCTATAACTGTTAGCCTACCACAGTATAGTCATTGTGATACCAATGCGAGTACCCCTATATTCTAGTATTTTTTTTTTTTGCTTCCTATAACTGTTAGCCTACCACAGTATAGAGTCATTGTGATACCAATGAACACAGTTTGTGGAAATACGGAAAGGTGTAAACAAAATGATGTGATATCACAGCATTGGGTGTGCATGATTTTAAATCTGGCAACCACTGACAACTCTCTCACTTTCCTTGCATCATCTTTCCACAAGCTGTGAACTTTTTTTTTTTTTTTTTTTTTTTTTTTTTTTTTTTTTCAACAAGTCGGCCGTCTCCCACCGAGGCAGGGTGACCCAAAAAAGAAAGAAAATCCCCAAAAAGAAAATACTTTCATCATCATTCAACACTTTCACCACACTCGCACATTATCACTGTTTTTGCAGAGGTGCTCAGAATACAACAGTCTAGAAGCATAAACATATAAAGATACACAACATATCCCTCCAAACTGCCAATATCCCAAACCCCTCCTTTAAAGTGCAGGCATTGTACTTCCCATTTCCAGGACTCAAGTCCGACTATATGAAAATAACCGGTTTCCCTGATCCCTTCACTAAATATTACCCTGCTCACACTCCAACAGATCGTCAGGTCCCAAGTACCATTCGTCTCCATTCACTCCTATCTAAACACGCTCACGCACGTGCTGGAAGTCCAAGCCCCTTACCCACAAAACCTCCTTTACCCCCTCTCTCTCAACCCTTTCGAGGACGACCCCTACCCCGCCTTCCTTCCCCTATAGATTTTATATGCTTTCCATGTCATTCTACTGTGATCCATTCTCTCTAAATGACCAAACCACCTCAACAACCCCTCTTCTGCCCTCTGACTAATACTTTTTATTAACTCCACACCTTCTCCTAATTTCCACACTCCGAATTTTCTGCATAATATTTACACCACACATTGCCCTTAAACAGGACATCTCCGCTGCCTCCAACCGTCCTCCTCGCTGCTGCATTTACCACCCAAGCTTCACACCCATATAAGAGTGTTGGTACTACTATACTTTCATACATTCCCTTCTTTGCCTCCATAGATAACGTTTTTTGACTCCACATATACCTCAACGCACCACTCACCTTTTTTCCCTCATCAATTCTATGATTAACCTCATCCTTCATAAATCCATCCGCCGACACGTCAACTCCCAAGTATCTGAAAACATTCACTTCTTCCATACTCCTCCTCCCCCAATTTGATATCCAATTTTTCTTTATCTAAATCATTTGACACCCTCATCACCTTACTCTTTTCTATGTTCACTTTCAACTTTCTACCTTTACACACATTCCCAAACTCATCCACTAACCTTTGCAATTTTTCTTTAGAATCTCCCATAAGCACAGTATCATCAGCAAAAAGTAACTGTGTCAATTCCCATTTTGAATTTGATTCCCCATAATTTAATCCCACCCCTCTCCCAAACACCCTAGCATTTACTTCCTTTACAACCCCATCTATAAATATATTAAACAACCATGGTGACATTACACATCCCTGTCTAAGACCTACTTTTACCGGAAGTAGTCTCCCTCTCTTCTACACACCCTAACCTGAGCCTCACTATCCTCATAAAAACTCTTTACAGCATTTAATAACTTACCACCTATTCCATATACTTGCAACATCTGCCACATTGCTCCTCTATCCACTCTATCATATGCCTTTTCTAAATCCATAAATGCAATAAAAACTTCCCTATCTTTATCTAAATACTGTTCACATATATGCTTCAATGTAAACACCTGATCTACACATCCCCTACCCACTCTAAAACCTCCTTGCTCATCCGCAATCCTACATTCTGTCTTACCTCTAATTCTTTCAATTATAACCCTACCGTACACTTTTCCTGTATACTCAGTAAGCTTATTCCTCTATAATTTTTACAGTCTCTTTTGTCCCCTTTCCCTTTATATAAAGGGACTATACATGCTCTCTGCCAATCCCTAGTACCTTCCCCTCTTTCATACATTTATTAAACAAAAGTACCAACCACTCCAACACTATATCCCCCCCTGCTTTTAACATTTCTGTCATGATCCCATCAGTTCCAGCTGCTTTACCCCCTTTCATTTTACGTAATGCCTCACGTACCTCCCCCACACTTACATTCTGCTCTTCTTCACTCCTAAAAGATGGTATACCTCCCTGACCAGTGCATGAAATTACTGCCTCTGTTTCTTCCTTAACATTTAAAAGTTCCTCAAAATATTCTCGCCATCTACCCAATACCTCCATCTCCCCATCTACTAACTCCCCTACTCTGTTTTTAACTGACAAATCCATATTTTCCCTAGGCTTTCTTAACTTGTTTAACTCACTCCAAAATTTTTTCTTATTTTCATTAAAATTTCTTGACAGTGCCTCTCCCACTCTATCATCTGCTCTCCTTTTGCACTCTCTCACCACTCTCTTTACCTTTCTTTTACTCTCCATATACTCTGCTCTTCTTATAACACTTCTGCTTTGTAAAAACCTCTCATAAGCTACCTTTTTCTCTTTATATCACACCCTTTACTTCATCATTCCACCAATCACTCCTCTTTCCTCCTGCCCCCACCCTCCTATAACCACAAACTTCTGCCCCACATTCTAATACTGCATTTTTAAAACTATTCCAACCCTCTTCAACCCCCCCACTACTCATCTTTGCACTAGCCCACCTTTCTGCCAATAGTCGCTTATATCTCACCCGAACTTCCTCCTCCCTTAGTTTATACACTTTCACCTCCCTCTTACTTGTTGTTGCCACCTTCCTCTTTTCCCATCTACCTCTTACTCTAACTGTAGCTACAACTAAATAATGATCCGATATATCAGTTGCCCCTCTATAAACATGTACATCCTGGAGCCTACCCATCAACCTTTTATCCACCAATACATAATCTAATAAACTACTTTCATTACGTGCTACATCATACCTTGTATATTTATTTATCCTCTTTTTCATAAAATATGTATTACTTATTACCAAATTTCTTTCTACACATAGCTCAATTAAAGGCTCCCCATTTACATTTACCCCTGGCACCCCAAATTTACCTACTACTCCCTCCATAACATTTTTACCCACTTTAGCATTAAAATCCCCAACCACCATTACTCTTACACTTGATTCAAAACTCCCCACGCATTCACTCAACATTTCCCAAAATCTCTCTCTCTCCTCTACACTTCTCTCTTCTCCAGGTGCATACACGCTTATTATAACCCACTTTTCACATCCAATCTTTATTTTACTCCACATAATCCTTGAATTAATACATTTATAGTCCCTCTTTTCCTGCCATAGCTTATCCTTCAACATTATTGCTACTCCTTCTTTAGCTCTAACTCTATTTGAAACCCCTGACCTAATCCCATTTATTCCTCTCCACTGAAACTCTCCCACCCCCTTCAGCTTTGTTTCACTTAAAGCCAGGACATCCAGCTTCTTCTCATTCATAACATCCACAATCATCTCTTTCTTATCATCTGCACAACATCCACGCACATTCAGACTTCCCACTTTGACAATTTTCTTCTTCTTATTCTTCTTATTGTACTCTATGGTATCACTATGTTAGGCTAACAGTTGTAGGAAGTTTACTAAAGATGAACTGTCTTGCGGAGTTAATATGCTGGAGACCACTGGCAACTAACTATCTGGAGCAGGATCCGGGGGTCAACGCCCCCGTGGTCTGTGACCAGGCCTCATGGTGGATCAGGGCCTGATCAACCAGGCTGTTACTGCCACATAGAGCAAAAGCTGTCTGCACTCTGAACAGGCATCCTTGTCTATTTCATGTTAATCTGAAATAGAGATTCCATAGATCAATGAAACAATGTAAATACGGATACATGTATGTGGCAGAAACACAATTTAAGCAAAATAAACACCAATGTATACAATTAATAGTAGCCTTTTGTAAATGTCTGAACATTGGGACGGACAAAACACAACTGATGCTCTCTGATTCTTCCTGACAAGCAAACATTTTGTGTAGTATTCATGTTGAGGCATGTAAGCAGACAGTTGCAAGGCTTTTCTCAGAAGTGCATTCAAGTGTATATGTGATATAAAACCGCATGCACTGCCAATATCTTTACGTGATAAATTAATTCTGACAGATTAATTTTCAGCATGCTAAAAATAACCTATAAACTTCCATGTATAACTTACTAAATATACTGTTGCTGTGTTACTAATGGTGTTATTCAGCATTTAACAAAAAAAGCTGCCAAGTCAGTCAGTCGAACTTTAAGAACTGAAACCAAGAATTGGATGTCGCCCCCAACCCTTTCATGCAAATTCAAGTAATGTAATTACAAATAGGTAACTGCACTAATAAATTCCCGGTATTCTTGGTGCTCAGTAATCATATAAGTTTATCAAGAAAGGAAAGATAAAAATCATTGTTACGAAGACAGTGGTGTGCAGAGGGGAGGGCTGAAGGGGCGGTGGCCCCGGACATCTAAATGGGGGGGGGTCCAATTAGAGGGGGAAATAAGATAGTGATTTGGGGCATACAATCAAGGAGTTGGCTCCGGGCATCACCAGACCTCTGCATGCCACTGTACGAAGATGAAACTGAGGTAGGAAAAGAGGGGAAAGGGAAAAGGAAATCCTGAGAACTTTATCAATGGGATTTTAGGGTCCCAAAAGAACATCAAAGGAGATGTGATAAAATATCCTGTCAGTCAGTTGTGGACTGTGTGGTGGTGGAGACGTCAGTCAGTAGTGGTCTATATGGTGGTGGTGGAAATGTCAGTCAGTAGTGGTCTTTGTGGTAGGGACATCAGTCAGTAGTGGTCAATGTGATGGTGGAGACATAAGTCAATAGCGGTCAGTACGGTGTTGGGGAGACTTCAGTCAATTTGTTCCTCTGTTCCAATGAACTCTTTTTTTTCATGTACTGAATGATCCATACGGGTGTAGCACTTTCCAGGACTATAATTTATTTACTTCATCTGCTGGAAACCTATTAATCAACAAAACGAAAACACTGAGGAATAATATTATGTTTTCAACATTACTAACTTGCCACAAGAAACTGACATTTATTTTTCTTAAGTCATATTTGTACCACAATACACTGTCAGGTGAAGAATATTGTCTCAAGGTAAGTTGTTACCATTATATGGTCTAGAATTTAAAAAGAAAATTATGCTCACTAAAACAAGTTTCTCATAATGTCTGTCAGTAACAACCGTAAGTCAGGAAAACAGGAAGCTTCAATGAAGATAAGAGCATTATGTGTTGCCTTGAGTTGAATCTGATCAAGGGACCCCTAGCCAGAGGAAAAAAGGAAAATGCAGCTAAATAAAGGATGGAACTTCTATAGCAATATAGATAAAACTATACATAAATTCTACAATTAATAAAACTAAAAAAAAAAAAAATACAATATGCTGGGACAACACGTCTTTGTAGAGTCATTCTTGTTCTTTAGTATGGTCTTCTCACACTCGACAATGCCTGAGAGTTCACAAGATGCTGAAGTAATAAGAGCATTAGAGAAAAACACGACCACCTGCGTCAGTCTTGGTATGGCCACAAACCTCTCGTGGAGTGTACACTGTACCACTACTGCACCCCCTACACAATTACTAGTAAGTTTACCCTCCAACAGGTCCCTAGAGAATGACATGAAAGAGTTGCTGAACAGAAGTCCTGAGACAGTGAACATATCAACCAGATCCAGAGTTCGGTTTTGCAATGTTCCGGATGATGATGAACAAATGAATAACACCAGCACCACCAGCAGGAGGGTCCGTCGTTACTCCCTGCACGGGAAGAAATGGGAAAAAACTGAACTTACTTGGACATTACGAACTCCGAGCAGACGCATCGACCGCTTGCCGGAGGGGGTCATTAGACAGCAACTTTATGCTGCCATGAAGGTCTGGGAACGTGAATCAGCCATCACCTTCAAGGAGGTCCACAAGGACACACCCGAAGTGGATATCTATATCGATTTTCTCGAAGGCGATCACAAAGACGGTTACAAATTCGATGGCCCAGGAGGCACCTTAGCTCACGCTTTCTACCCGGGGCAAGGACAAGGCGGGGACATGCACTTTGACGATGCAGAAAACTTTGTCGCTCATTACCAGGTGAAGAAATATGAGAGTAACAGCTTGCTAGTGACGGCGGCGCACGAGCTGGGTCACTCCCTGGGACTCCGACACTCAGAAGTTGCGACAGCCCTCATGGCTCCTTTCTATCAGGAGTACCCTGAAGACTTCAAACTTCCCAACGATGACAGGTACGGAATTCAGGCCCTGTATGGTAGACCACAGACTGTAACCACTGTAACCACTAGACCTCCAGCTACTACCTCTAGTCCTGCAACCACTCCCTACAAACCTCCAGTCACTCCATATGGACCTTCAACCACTCCAACTACTTTCAAACCTCCTACTACTAAGAGACCTCCAACAACAACTCAAAGACCTACATACAGACCTCCACCCATTCCCCCCACCAAACCTGTCTTTCGTCCGACGACCAAGGCACCAATTCCACCTACAACCACCCCATTCCCGGATATCACCAGCACACCCACACCATTGCCCTGTCCTGCTGTGCCTCCGCCAATAGACCTTCCTGATACATGTAACACTGACTTTGATGCTGTGACAAGGTACCATGAAGAGTTTTATTTTTTCAAGGGCAAGTTCTATTGGCGTGTAAGCAAACGGGGCCACCTCCACTCAAACGAATTTCCAAACCAGATATGGTACAGGTTTTCTGGTCTGCCCAGAGACTTGAAACACATCGACGCTGTTTACATCTCCCGCAAAGATACCTTTGTATTTTTCAGCGGCTCGATGTATTATGAATTAGGATCTACTTATCGTATACAGAACACAGGAAAGCTAGTCGACCTGGGAGTGAATGCAAGTCATCTGGACGCAGCCATGGTGTGGGGCCACAACGGCAGAATTTATATGTTCAGCGGGGATCACTACTGGCGTCTTGACAGGGATGGTCATGCTGAGCCCGATTACCCAAGAGACATAGCAGTATGGCGAGGTCTGCCACGGAACTATTCTGCCGCCTTCACTGTTCGTACAGTTACCTATTTCGTTGCCGGCCGTGTCTTCTGGAGCTTCGACAACCTCAAAATGAAAATATTAGAGCCTCCATCACTGATCGCACCTTACTGGCTCAGCTGCCCACACCACAACCCTCAGAAGCTTTTCCGCTGTTCCCCAGCTTCTGTAGCAGGCACTCTTTCAAGCGTTTCCTCCTCCCTCCACGTTCACACTTTTCTCAGGCTGACTGTCTTGTGTGTGATCTTAAGATATCTAGCTGTGTTGTGCCTACAGTAGTAACATTCACTTTTTCTCTTCCTCGCCTCACAGAGTAAGTGATAGATTTGGTAAATGGATGCACATGAAACTAGACATTTATTAAGGAGATGTTGCCTTAATGTCTCCTTAGTTGAATCTGTGTATCCATTTACCTAACATTGTTAGTATTTCTACTATTAATCACACAGTTATCAATTCCTGAGTTGACAGTATGTAAACCTTTCTTTCCCAAGAGCAACACACTCAAGACTTCAGGGGGTTTGCTCGTAGTCTGAGTGTCTGCTTGCTCCTCAATTTTGCTCCATTCTCAGTTAAGTACAGTATAATATTTATGAATGCCATTTATGAATGCCATTTATTCACCTTATACAAGTCTATTTCCAAGTCTACAAATTATGCAGATTTGCTTCTTTAAATCTATAATATTAAAAAATTTCAATTTTTAAATTTAATGCCAAATGTAACCAGCCTAATGAATATAACCAAGAATATACTAATCAAAACCATCACTATTACTATCACTTATTACCCCCATTAACACCCTTATTACTACCACTACCAAAACCATTATCACTATCTTCACTACCACTCACCATCACTACTGTACTATGAGTCATAGTGCATGACCGCCACCACCACAACCACCATTACTACCACTATGAAGTCACCATTATCACCCACACAAGGATTCCTTTCTTTTATAAATCCAGGTAAGCAAACCGATTCTTTTTTAATTATCAACTTCCACTCATTATCTATCATCTGTACAAGAATGGTATATAATACCGACAAGATGAAATTAAGACTCATGTGCACCATCTGGGTATCTTTATTTTAGACGTTTTGCCATCCAGTAACTATCAATACAAATTCCAGGACATAACTTGAAGACAGTAGGACTATATACAGAAGATGAGGTAATCAGTCCCTCAACCTTGGAATAGGTGCGAAGAGCACCACGACTACGGTGCTCTTCGCACCTACTCCTAGGTTGAGGGACTGATTACCTCATCTTCTGTATATAGTTCTACTGTCTTCAAGTTATGTCCTGGAATTTGTATTGATAAAGCCACTGGATGTCAAAACGTCTACAATAAAGATACCCAGATGTTGCACATGTGTCTTAATTTCATCTATCATCTGATATAAAACAGCGCTTTTGTGTGTGTGTACTCATCTAATTGTGGTTGCAGGGGTCGATTCATAGCTCCTGGCCCCGCCTCTTCACTGGTCGCCACTAGGTCTACCCTCTCCTTGCTCCATGAGCAGAGAGAGAGTGCGAGTGTGTGTGTGTGTGTGTACGTACGTACGTACTCACCTAGTTGTACTCGCCTAGTTGAGGTTGCAGGGGTCGAGTCCAAGCTCCTGGCCCTGCCTCTTCACTGGTCGCTACTAGGTCACTCTCCCTGAACCATGAGCTTTATCGTACCTCTGCTTAAAGCTATGTATGGATCCTGCCTCCACTACATTGCTTCCCAAACTATTCCACTTCCTGACTACTCTGTGGTTGAAGAAATACTTCCTAACATCCCTGCGATTCATCTGTCTCTTCAGCTTCCAACTGTGTCCCCGTGTTGTTGTGTCCAGTCTCTGGAACATCCTGTCTTTGTCCACCTTGTCAATTCCTCTCAGTATTTTGTATGTCGTTATCATGTCCCCCCTATCTCTCCTGTCCTCCAGTGTCATCAGGTTGATTTCCCTTAACCTCTCCTCGTAGGACATACCTCTTAGCTCTTGGACTAGTCTTGTTGCAAACCTTTGCACTTTCTCTAGTTTCTTTACATGCTTGGCTAGGTGTGGGTTCCAAACTGGTGCCGCATACTCCAATATGGGCCTAACGTACACGGTGTACAGGGTCCTGAGCGATTCCTTATTAAGATGTCGGAATGCTGTTCTGAGGTTTGCCAGGCACCCATATGCTGCAGCAGTTATTTGGTTGATGTGCGCTTCAGGAGATGTGCCTGGTATTATATTCACCCCAAGATCTTTTTCCTTGAGTGAGGTTTGTAGTCTCTGGCCCCCTAGACTGTACTCCGTCTGCGGTCTTCTTTGCCATTCCCCAATCTTCATGACTTTGCACTTGGTGGGATTGAACTCCAGGAGCCAATTGCTGAACCAGGTCTGCAGCCTGTCCAGATCCCTTTGTAGTTCTGCCTGGTCTTCGATCTAATGAATTCTTCTCATCAACTTCACGTCATCTGCTAACAGGGACACCTCGGAGTTTATTTCTTGTCATGTCGTTCACAAATACCAGAAACAGCACTGGTCCTAGGACTGACCCCTGTGGGACCCTGCTGGTCACAGGTGCCCACTCTGATACCTCGCCATGTACCATGACTCGCTGCCGTCTTCCTGACAAGTATTCCCTGATCCATTGTAGTGCCTTCCGTGTTATCCCTGCTTGGTCCTCCAGTTTTTGCACTAATCTCTTGTGTGGTACTGTGTCAAACGCCTTCTTGCTGTCCAAGAAAATGCAATCCACCCACCCCTCTCTCCCTTGTCTTACTGCTGTCACCTTGTCATAGAACTCCAGTAGGTTTGTGACACTGGATTTCCCATCCCTGAAACCACGTTGGCTGCTGTTGATGAGATCATTCCTTTCTAGGTGTTCCACCACTCTTCTCCTGACAATTTTCTGTGTATGTACTCACCTAATTGTGGTTGCAGGGGTCGAGACTCAGCTCCTGGCCCCGCCTCTTCACTGATCGCTACTGGGTCCTCTCTCTCTCTGCTTCCTGAGCTTTGTCATACCTCTTCTTAAAACTATGTATGGTTCCTGCCTCCACTACTTCACTTGCTAGGCTATTCCACTTGCTGACAACTCTATGACTGAAGAAATACTAACTAACGTCCCTGTGACTCGTCTGAGTCTTCAGCTTCCAGTTGTGACCCCTTGTCCCTGTGTCCCCTCTCTGGAACATCCTATCTCTGTCCACCTTGTCTATTCCCTGCAGTATCTTGTATGTCGTTATCATGTCTCCCCTGACCCTTCTGTCCTCCAGTGTCGTCAGTCCGATTTCCCTTAACCTTTCCTTGTACGACATTCCCTTGAGCTCTGGGACTAGCCTTGCTGCAAACCTTTGTACTTTCTCTAGCTTCTTGACGTGCTTGACCAGGTGTGGGTTCCAGACTGGTGCTGCATACTCCAGTATGGGCCTAACATACACAGTGTACAGTGTCTTGAACGATTCCTTATTAAGGTATCGGAACGCTATTCTCAGGTTTGCCAGGCGCCCGTATGCTGCAGCGGTTATTTGGTTGATGTGTGCCTCCGGTGATGTGCTCGGTGTTATGGTCACCCCAAGGTCTTTCTCCCTGAGTGAGGTCTTTAGTCTTTGTCCACCTAGCCTATACTCTGTCTGCGGTCTTCTTTGCCCCTCCCCAATCTTCATGACTTTGCATTTGGCTGGATTGAATTCGAGAAGCCAGTTGCTGGACCACATGTCCAGCCTGTCCAGGTCTCTTTGCAGTCCTGCCTCATCCTCGTCCAATTTAATTCTTCTCATCAACTTCACGTGTGTGTGTGTGTGTGTGTGTGTGTGTGTGTGTGTGTGTGTGTGTGTGTGTGTGTGTGTGTGTGTGTGTGTGTGTGTTATTGCTGTTCTTACTGCTGAACAGCGGTTTAGTGCCGATGAAGGTAGCGTAGGTAGCAATGATACGGCTGTGGACTAGTTTGGCTTTAATTGGGTAGGAGTGAGTACACAACGGGCAGTGTGAGGGAGTGACCGCAAGCCAGTCCGTGGAGGGGGAGCACTTGTGTCTGTCAAGTCGGTCGGCCTAGGAATGAGGGCCTGTGGGCTCAGCCCCCCACTGACGTGGGTGAGCCTACAGAGGGCAGCACCTAAAATGCCGCGAAATATGAACTAGTCAGAGCAGACGGCTAGGCTGTGTGTTCTGACAGTACAGGCTGTCTACATTTGCTCGGCCATGCACCTCGCGTCGGGCAATACTGGTGGGCCCGTAGGTATAAAGGAATTAAGTACACTAGCTACCCCAGAGAGGGACTGGCTTTCGCTCACTAGTAAATCAAAAATGGACATAAAAATGCAACAGGCAAAAAAAAAACTCTCCCATCCAGGGGAAGAGAAAACTGGTTTGCCCGCGCTGTTTCATCGAGGAGAGAGTCCGGAGATGTCAGCACTGGAACTAAAATCTATATACAGGTTGTCCGCAGGGCTGAACATCAGTTGACCACTCGTCTACGAACGTTGTTGCACCCTCACATCTGCAAACAATGACTGACAGTAGCATTTCCTAAGGTGTGACATGTGACTCAGAGGGCAGCACTGCCCTGACCGTAATACAGGCTTTTTTTTCTTTTTGTTATAAAAACACTGGGTGCACATACCTACAATAATACTATATCCATGGAATTCATTACACTCTGGGTACCCTTCTAAAAGTATTTACATAATTACATGATGTCCACCCTGACTCCATTATCGACTAGCTATACAATGTGTGTGCATTTATACCCATTTCTGCAAGCAAACAATTAGCATAACTAGCGTAGGAGTCAGACAAGTCAGTAGGTACGTCAATGTCACAGAAATGTACTGTTGTCCTGGGTCGCAGGCCATAAGTATGGAGCCTTACTGGGCCGTCTTCCGTACCAGTAGTAGTGGGAGAAGAGATAGACGGGTTGTCCCTAGCATTAGTCTGATCCTGGCGTTGCAACGCACGCGCCTCCAGCTCTGCTTCGGCCTGCATATGGTCCACATACTTCATGTGATCAAGGTGGGCTTCCTTGATAGTTCCCGTAGCAATCTCCCTCACCTCGAACTTATTGCCACGGAGGTGTCGTAGGACACGGTAAGGACCCACAAACTTTGGGACAAGTTTGTGCATACCTGGGGTCTGCACTGGGTTGAGCAACATAACTTTGCAACCTGGTTCCAATTTGCTTTCCTTGGCGCGGGCATTGCGCTCAGACGTGAACCTATCAGTAGCTTTCATAAGGTTCTCTCGTACCCGCTGGAAGACAAGCTGCGTTGTCCTCATCTTTACTACACTGGGGTTATCAGTATCGTAAGTAGGTCTAGGTGGAGCAAACAGAATTTCATATGGTAAGCGCTTGTCATAGCCATACAAAGCAAAATGAGGTGTCTCACCGATCGAGCTGTTGAGGGAGGAATTTAATGTACACTGAACATCTGGGATAGCCTCATCCCATGTAGTACAACTTGGGTTAACGGTTACTCTGAGCACCTCCAGGACTTTGCGATTTGTACGTTCAGCAAGACCATTACTCGCAGGGTGGCGTGGAGCTACTGGCGCTTGATGAATGTTGAATCTGGAGCAAAGATCCTGCATTATGCCATTTATAAACTCAGACCCACTGTCTGACAGAAGGACACGTGGGCAAGTATGACGAAGAACAACATGCTCACGGAAAGCACTAGCGACCGTTTCGGCGGTTTTATCAGGAATGGGTACTAATTCACTGTACCGTGTCAAGTTATCTACCATTACAAGCAGGTGCTTATTTCCCTTCTCCGAGGTCGAGAAGTTCGTCAACAGGTCGACAGAAGTTCTCTCCCAGGGCTCCTTTGTAATGGGATACTTTTTATATGCCTAATCACGGGTGGGCTCCATGCTGGCGCTGCATACTCCAAGACAGATGTAATGTATAGCGTGCATAATGCTCTAACTGAATCTTTGATCAAGTTCATGAATGCTGTTCTTCGGCTAGCTAGTTCTGCACATACAGCCAGGCCCATCTTCACAGCACTTCGCTAATACAACAATTTTCAATTGTACCCATTCTTCATTTATTCAGACTTCCTACAATAAATATATTCACCACTTAAGCTAAGGAAGAAAATATTTTAAGGTAAGTAATTTAATAAGATTTCATTTGTGTTTTTAACCCCGGAGGGTTAGCCACCCAGGATAACCCAAGAAAGTCAGTGCGTCATCGAGGACTAACTTATTTCCACCGGGGTCCACAATCTTGTCCCCCAGGATGCGACCCACACCAGTCGGCTAACACCCAGGTACCTATTTGCCGCTAGGTGAACAGGTGTAAGGAAACGCTTCGAAATATTTCCACCTGCCGGGAATCGAACCTGGGCCCTCCGTGTGTGAAGTTAGTGTAATATGTTTATTATACACCCCATACCCATCCTGTGGGCGGTAATCAGAAGATTACAAAGGTACATAATGGGTCCAGGGACTGGACTCCAAAGTTATGATAGCTGAACTAGTTACAAAGGTAATGAACTCCAGGTAGATCTGGTCACAATCATGGCAAGTTACAGAGGTAATAAACCATCTACACTCCTATACATGGTTACAGTCATGAACAAATTACAAAGTAATGAACCACTGACACGTCCACACCTGGTCACAATTGTAATGAATTATAAATACAAATATTAAGTGGGTCATACACCCACACGCACGCGCGCGCACACACACACACACACACACACACACACACACACACACACACGGTTCAGAGAGAGTGACCAGTAAAGCGGCGGCGCCAGGAGCTAGGACTCGACCCCTGCAACCTCAACTAGATGAGTATAAATAGATGAGTACACACATACACGAGGACACACGCACAGATACATGCACACGAGCTTACCTGGTGAGGGTTTCGGAGGGTCAACGCCCCCGCGACCCAGTCTGAGACCAGGCCTCATGGTGGATCAGGGTCTGATCAACCAGGCTGCTACTGCTGGCCGCACGCAAGCTGACGTACAAACATACACACCGGGTGGCTGAAACAAGAGCTTCAGCCACACGGTGTACTGAATATACATTTTTTAAGGCCTAGCTCTATTGCTCACTAAATATATGATACCGATAATATGGATGAAAAGACACAAGTGACAACCGAGTCACAGTTAAGGGGTGGGTGGGGAGGCGTACAGGATATAGATTACAGAGAGAGGGGGGGGGGGGGAAGACAATACTCAACAGTTCAGATTGTGTGATTAAATTCATTATCAACAAACTCTGGCCTAGACAGTCATTCATCTTCAGTATCGAGGCGAGTGCGTGCTTCAAGTTGTACTAAATGTACTTGGAGATGTACTAAGTTGTACTCACTGAATTGTACTCCCAACCTTATCTGAGTTGTACTCTAGATGTACTCTAACAGTTGTACTTGCTGAGCTGTACTCCGGTCGTCGTTCTCTCTTGTAAGGTTGTCAGGTTCAGTTCCTTGAGAGAACTATTTATTTGTGATTACAGGTATCTACTTAGAAGTTACAGATACCTATTTAATGGTAGGTGAAGAGGCGCAAACTTGCCGTTACGTGTAGTCCTGCCCAGTTTAATCTACTCGGGATTCTGAGTTCCCTGCTCGAACCACCCACCTACGCTCACACGTGTGTAAGTGTGCATTCATAGTAAGTTTATTCAGGTAAACACAAATACAGTTCCATAGATTATCAGGTATACACAAATACAGTTCCATAGATTATCAGGTATACACAAATACAGTTCCATAGATTATCAGGTATACACAAATACAGTTCCATAGATTATCAGGTATACACAAATACAGTTCCATAGATTATCAGGTATACACAAATACAGTTCCATAGATTATCAGGTATACACAAATACAGTTCCATAGATTATCAGGTATACACAAATACAGTTCCATAGATTATCAGGTATACACAAATAGTTACATAGATTAGCATGTGTGTAAAGTACCTAGGATAACCCAAAAAAGTCAGACAATGACTTATTCGCTTAGCTAGGTGTATGTACCTAATCTGAGTTTGTGGAGATTTGAACTTTAGCTCTTGGACCCGCTTCTGTTTCAAATCGCTATATCACCAACAACCTCACTGCTCTGAGATCTGGGTCGTGATAAACGGACGAAGAATCGAGCCTCCACCACTGCTGAATGGCCCACGCGAGTGACCTTAACCTCTCTCGTTTCTTCAAGGTGGTGATTGCATGATGATGGGTTCTTGATCCAAGGAATCGGTGATACCACGGTGCTCGGTGGCTTGGTTGGCAGAACACTCGCTTCACACCCTGAATGTCCGTGGTTCAGTTTCCGGCATGAGTGGAAACATTGGTTATGTTTTCTTACACCTTCTGTCCCTATTTACCTGGGTGTTAGTCGACTGGTGTGGGAGGCATCCTGGGGGACCAAATTAAAGGACCACATGGAAACAAGACAAACAGTTCTCGATGGCGCACTTTTTTTGGGGTGGTTATCCTGGGTAGCTAACCCTCCCCAGGTTAAAAAAAATCTGAACTAATCTTATCTTCCTCGATTCACACCCAATTACCTCCCATTCACCAGCAGCATAACCTTTACGGGTTTAGCGTTCCATATAAATTAAGTAATAATGATAATTATTATTTCTGTGTATATCTCTAATACAGTTCCCGTCCCTGTTAGACTATCATGTGCGCTTTTACAGAAGTGAGCAATGCAATGTGTTATCTTATCAGTGGTGTTATCTTTACCAGGGTTGTTTATGTGATCACA